CCCCCCCCCCCTCGGCTCGGACATCCTTTGTGAATGGCCCCTAACATTCTTGTTACATCATGACTGCATCAGACTTGTTAGAACAACTTTGTAACAAGTGTGTTAATACCATCAAGCTTGTTACGAGTTGCTAACAGCTTGTTCTAAACTTGTTACAACAACTGGGAACAAGCAGTGCGAACACAACTTGTCAACAGTTTGTGAACAGATTTGTAACAACTTGTTTGCAAAAATTTTGATTTTTCTAGGATATGGTCAATCGTAGAATCAGTATGGATTCCATTATGAAAGTGGCAAAGGAACAACAGCACAGGCAGTTTATCTTGCTTACCCCGCAAGATATGAGGTAGGGATTTTAGAACGATCTTGTCTTTTGTTTATACATGACTTACACACGTAAAAACGCACAAGTTGTAACAAACTTGCTTGTCAACAGGATGTGTTCGCACTGCTTGTTCCCAGCTTGTTGACAAGTTGTCAACTGCTTGTTGACAACCTGCTACAAGGTTGTTGAACTCAACAGACTTGTCACAAGTTGTGCGTTATCGTCCTGCATCACAACAATTTGCCAACAACAGTTGTGAGTGACAACCTTGTAGCAACTTGATGAAATAACAACATTGTCACAACTTGTTGACAAGCTTGCTACAAGCCTGTTGCGAACACATCTTGTTGACATGTTGTCATATTTTTACGCGTGTACCTCTGCATGATCTAACCATACTTGTGTGTTTAAAGCCGGTTTTTTAAATGGTTCTGATCAGGTGAGTTTTTTTCGAACTACCTGTACCTGCCTTTCGCGAAATTTACGCGCGATAAATAAAGCTATTTACGTTGCCGTCTGCGTCAACAACAATGGAGGGCATAAAGGCAATTTCTAGACGTAAACAAAGAAATATTAAGAACCCAATGATTTTTTTGCCGAGAAAATGTTGACAATATAGTCGAGTATTTCGCAAAGAACGGGCGTCGCAAACAACATACGGAGATGAGTTTTCAAAATCGAAAATATTTAAAAGCTAAGGTATACTGTATGGTATACTGTATGGTAAGGTATAATATAGTGCGAGATGTGAGTACTGAGTTTTTTTGCATGTAAATTTATTTGTGTGGTACAAAAAATGTTAAGGGTCTTCTTTGGTTTGGGGGCCCCTTTTGAAACCCGGGGAAAAGTGTCCCCTTCCCCCCTCTCTCTCCACAGCTCTGCTTAGGACGAACCTTCAGCCACCCTCGGTGCGTCAATCCCGGACGAACCTCCCTGCAAGTATGTTATAACATTAGATCACCTGAAGTCAGACACGGAGTTTTGAACAATATCAGATCACTTGTAGGCAGCTCAGAAGATTAATGAACATATACTACTTATGCATGATCTAACCGTGCTACACTCACTATTATCTTTCAGTAATGTTGGACAGACAGATCAAATACGAATATTCAAGCTTCAGGATCCAGATCGCGGCCAAACCGTTTTACCCTTCCAACCTGCCGAAACGGAATAAGACTATGCTATGCGTTTTTAATGCTAGAAAATGCAGCGAGTTCACGTCCAATAAGAAACAGTAAAGGAATACCGAATGGTTTTCCGTGCAGGATTGCGTGATCCATGCACGAGGGATGTCGCGAGACTTTCGGAAAGCGTAAAAATACTCGAGCCGCAGGCGAGTGTATTTTTACGCTTTCCGAAAGTCGAGCAACATCCCAAGTGCATTAGATAACGTTATCCTGCTTGGAAAACCATTTGGTAATTGTTTTATAAAATAACTACTGTGAAACAATGACATTTTGTGAATCCTGCGAAAATCCCGCGAAGGCATTTTAATTCCTCGTGCAGGATAGCCTGATCCTGCACGGTTATTAACCAATCAAATTGCGTGTTTCACTGTAGTTATTATATAAAAATATTTCATACATGGCACTAACCATTCGCGGAATAACCAACAAGTTGTATTTTACGTTTCACTACAGGCATTGAAGAGTATGGACAATAAAATTTTAATAAATTTAGACTGAAAGAACTCCTTAAACTGTCATCTTACAAAATTTTGATATCTTTGGTTAGAAGATATTTCAGTTTATTTAGTATAGGTAATCATGCGATGGCGAGTACAATTAGGGATTAATAGTACGAGTGATGTTTGGAAATTTTGCCAAAATTGGACGAGCCGCCGGGGCGAGTAATGAATTATTAATGAGTGTTTGAAGAAATATTTTAACACCTTGTGACGTCATAGATTTGTTCATTTGCATATTAAACAACCTAAGATATCTCGAGAACAAAAAAGATCAATAAAAGTCGGGAAATGACTTATTTTACAGTTTAACGAGTTCTTTCTGTATTAATAGTATACATGAAAAAAATTCTCAATTCTGATTGGCTAAGAGCACTGAAGTTCAGTGCGAAAAGTGAAAGTAATAATAAAAAAACCGAACGACAAATTTTCTAATAAAATTAGTTATAATATATTAAAATGATCTATTTCGCATGTGACCTACCCATGGACGTGACTGCATAATTTTTTCATGTATATTATTAATTAACAATTAT